TCATCCCTCGACAATACCCAACCTACCCTGCCCCCATTACAGCATTAAGGCCTCTTCTACAGTCTTGCTGCATCCTAAAATATTGTTCACACCTTTTAAACTTGATCCTGGTTAAAAAAAATTACTTTTGCCAAAGGGTTTATTATTGAAATTACACGACTGATGCTTTAAGAATCTACGCAGTTCTAATAGACCTGCCTCTAGCACAGAGAAGGAGAAACAACATTCTTGCCCTCTGGGCTGTGTGAATGGAGCTGGAAAGCACCTTGGAAACAAAGGTAAATTCCAAGTACATCATGTATACATCGTGTAATTTTAGATGCTCAGTCCTTGAACATTTTTAAGGCTGAGACTGATAGATTTTTAAAAAACAGAGGGATTAGGGGATATGGGGATAGGGCAGGTAATTATAGTTAGGTCAGAAGATCAGCCATGATCTTATCGAATGGCGGGGCAGGCTCGAGGAGCCGAATGGCCTACTCCTGCTCCTAATTCTTATGTTCTTATTCTAGCAAAACAATTTGTGAATTTTCTGATCATAAAGGTGTGAGCCACAGTTCTGGAAAACTGAACGTGTTCACATTTCAAGTGCAGGTTGTCCGTAGTGTGGAATTCTCTGGTACGAACGGTATTTTGAAGCAGTGACTGTAATTTATTATCAAATGGAAATAGCTGTTTGAAAAAAAATACATTGAAAGGGATGGAGTGCACCTAGGAAAGTGTGATTCGATTAAGTGGTCTCATGGAGGTGAAAACCACTGGCGCAGACTGGATGGACTGAATGGCCTGTTTCTGTGCTGTGATATTCTATTCTGAGCATTCGTGGATCTGGATGCTCATGGCCACTGAGCAGGCACTTTGTGGGAATTGTCCAAATGTCCATTGTTCTTACAGGAACTTTGTAGACCAGAGTCTTTCATCCCAGTAATCCAGGCTAGATTAGGCTCATACACAGGGAAATACTGAAAGTTGAACCAGATCCAGAATTTAAAAAAAGACTTAAGGAGAATATTGGGCAAAGGGGAAGGAAACGTGGTATTACAATGAAAAAAATGCAAATTCATTTGTATCATACGATTTTGATCTAATGGGTAAGTTTCTTTTCTGACTGCTTCAGAATGTAATTGAGAAACAGGGATACTAGCTCGCACATGGTTTTGGATTAATATCGTTATGGTCGGTTTGTCACTGACACAGCCGCCTATTTTCATTGTGATTTGCGATGTAGGGGCCATTTCCTTTAGGTCCAGGCAGCTGGTCCAAGGCACGTCCACTCTATTAAATTCATTATCCTAGCATTTGATACAGTGCTTATGAGATTTCGCCATCAAATTGAAGAATAATAGTAATCCTTGCATTTGATATAGGGCTTATCACGTTTTCGAGATATCTCAAGCGCTTCATTGAATATACTGTAAAGTGAATTGACTGTATATTTTGTGGGCGAAACGCAGCAATCATTGGCGCACAGGAGTGTACCACAAACAGTTGTACATTGAAGTGACCAATTTATTATTATTATTTTTTTAAAGGAATTATTACCCTCGGAAAAGCGATCGCTAGCAACCAGGCTCCTAATTACTGCTGGGTAAACAGAGGTTATGTGGAGTAAGAAAACTTGCCCAACATTTCCCACTGCCGGGAATCAAACCCAGGTCTCCTGCTTGCAAGGCGAGTGCTCTAACCACTGAGCTACAGGACAGTATATAACAGTGATGAAAAGATTATAGTGTAGGTTTATGAGGATGATACTGTGAGCCCTGCTAGTTTACATGTTTAAATCTCTATTTTGAAATTCACTTTGAAAAGTGATGCTTTTCTTTCACTTCAAAAATATAGGCCCCAGAACTGCTGATGGGGCAAAGCCATTTCAACCTGTGAAAAACATGGGATTCCTAGGGTTTGGGAGGGAGTAAGGAATGTGAAAAAACTCATGTGGAGTATAAACACTGGCTCGGACTGGTTGATGTCTCAGTGGCCTGTTTCTGTGCTTTACACTCTTTATAATAGTGAATCTTAATCTCTATTCCAAGCTGTAAACAGGAACTGAATTTTCTAATTTTGTATTTCGGTGGGGGAAGGGATGTATTTATCTGCTTTGTATATTAAACCACCCGAGGCCAGGCCTATTTACAACAGGAAGATAGTGAATATATCATGATAATTAGAGGGATTTTTCTTCAAAGAAACAGACTGAGAGATAAGCCATTCCTACTTATCTCTTGTAGTCACTGAGTGCTTGCCCTTCTCATTGTGCATACTTTGTCTGCCTTTTTAACCTTTTATATGCACCACTGGCAGCAACACTGCAAGGCAACTTGTAAGGTAAAGGTTTTTGTGTTAGCCTGGTAGCATTCTCGGCTCTCAGTCAGAACATTGTGAGTTGAAGTCCCACTTCAGGACTTTGAACACATATGCTCTAAGCTGACATTCCACGGCAGTGCTGGGGGTGTGCTGCATCGTGGAGTCCTGTAGCTCAGTGGTTAGAGCACTGGCTTTGCAAGTGAGAGACCTGAGTTCAATTCCAGGCAGAGGGCGAAACCTTGGGCAAGTTTCCTTACTCCACACAGAGCCTAATAATAATCCCTCCAAAACCAAAAGCAATAATAAATTGGTCATTTTCAATCTACGACTGTTTGTGGGACATTGCTGTGCGCAATTGGCTGCCGTGTTCGCCCACAGATATACAGTCAATTCACTTTACAGTGTGTTTGTGAAGCGCTTTGGGATGTCCTCCCAATGTGAAAAGCGCTATATCAAATGCAAGGACTATTATTATTGTTGGAGATGCTGTCCTTCAGATGAGTTGTTAAATTGAGATTCCCGTCTGCCTTTTTATGTGGAAGTTAAAGATCCCATGGCACTATTTGAAAACAGAAGGGAGTTTCTCCTAATGTCCTGCCCAATAATCCCCATTAAAATTGGCCATTCACTTCATGGCTGTTTTGTGGAACATTGATGTGTGCAAATTAGCTCCCATGTTCATCTATAAAATTCACAACTACTACACTTTACACTATATTCTGTGAATTGCTTTGAGACGTCCTCCCAACATGAAATGTGCCATAGAAACATTATTATTATTAATCACTGAGGCACCATTGCTGCCTCCAGGTTTTCCAAGGCCAACCTAACAAGGTGCTTTTACTGGTGTTTCTCAAAGTACAGATACTTATATCTTTTATCCACTGGTATACTAAGTGGTTGAACTCAGTCATACAGATCAGAGATGACTGTTTTTCCTCGTTGGCCCCCTTCTCGCTAGCTTCTCTAACCTTTTCTGGTGGTGGGAAATCAATGCCAGTTGCGACTTTAAATCTGCGTGTGCCCAGATTTGCAAATGAATGCTGCATTTTGTTCCAGTGGCATGGAATCCACTGGCCGTACGAATGGCATATAATCACGGCAGAGGGCTTTGGTCTGTATTATGGAATTGCCTCTTCCAGTGATCCTACCCAGCAGAAGTTCTTCTCCCCATCCCCCTGAATTATCTTCCCTGCTCTTCCACGTCCTCCGTTCCTAAAAGCACTGACTTCCATCATGGGCATGGATACAAATTGGTTAGTTTAAAACATGGAAGACTCCATATGTGTACAGAATGTATGATATTATTATCAGAAGAATTTGCAGTATAAATTCTACACTTGCCCTGTAAACCCTGTTTGTGTGAGTGTGGGACAAGAGCGTTACCCAGAGTGAAACTGGGGTCAAAAATGAAAGACATTAACGTGAGCTCAATGACTCATACCAAATCACGTCATTACACCTGAATCTTAAAAGTGGGACTCGATTTGTCAAAATTAATTTTGTATGCATATAGTAAAAGCCCACGGAACACAACAAATCTTTGCACAATATTATCCTGCTTTTTACTGCAACTGCAGCTTATTAGCTGTCTCCCCCTGTGGGAGCACCAAACTTTCACTTGGTATCTCCTCCGGGTTGTCTGGCTGATATTTGGGATGCAGTTGCATGGGGAATATGAAGCACAAATACACACATTAGAATCGTGGAAATCATGGCCATTCAACCCATGAATGAGTGGCCATATTTTGTAAACCAAATCTGGGGTTACACACACACATATATATATGTATGTATGTATGTATATATATACAGAGAGAGAGATCTGAACCCACCACAATTCCTGGTGCTGGCAGTAGCGGAGAAGGCTGTTGTTGGATTAATGGCTGTGTTTCTCTGATGAGTATATCGGTTTTAGAATGTTATTGTTCTTGCACAGTTTGTTGCTGAACTCAAGACGGGGCAAATTTGGCCCCAACATTACCTCACCCGGGGACTGTCTCCGGAAATCGGGGATGTATAATCACCCCAGCCTAAGAGGACAATAAAACAATCGGGGAAAGGGCGGGGACATGCTATGGGCCGAAATTCTGTGCTGAAAAATTGTACAATTCTGTGGTGCCAGCTCCTCCACCAGAGCTTTCCACTCTAATGACGCATTTTTGCACCCAAACATATTTTTCCTCTTCAAATACAGAACTTCTCCAAGTCCCTTTAGTGTACCACAGCACTGGACTCTGTTCCTATCTGTCACTTTGAGTTATAACCTGAGTGCTGCACATGGTGTAACCATAGTAACATTGCTCATTCTCTCAGTGCCCTGACCTGTCATAAGTCCATCCCACAGACTGAACACTCCCATAAGTTGTTTGCTTTCGAAAATCTGAAAAACAGGGAACTGGTTTCAACGGAGAGTCCCTGTGAAATCTTAGCTTTATCGCAGACTCCCTTGTTCCTGAAAAATGACCCCGTTAACAAAAGTGTTTATAAAACTGCATTGTACAATTTGCTGCACACACGGTTTCGCCCGAAAATACACAGTCAATCCATTTTAGTGTTTCTGGTGAAGTGCTTCGAGACATCTCAGCGACGCAATAAGATGCTATATCAAATACAAGGATTATTATCATTATTATTACTCTTAAAACCCCAAAAATATCCCAATAGACACCCGAATGGTTCACGCGGCTACTCACCTTGGCAAAGTACAGGTTCATCAAGCTTAAGGTGAAGAACTGGAGACAGACTGGGAAGCAGTAGAGCAGCCAGAAGGTGAAGGGTGCCAGCGAGTTGGCTGTGACAAAGTCCTTGAAGTAGAAGGAGAAGAGAATAGTCCTGAGGGCAGCCCAGAGTAGGCAGAAGAAGAGGAACACGGCCTGGTAGCTGAACCGCTTGTGTCTGTAGTGGAGGATGAGCCACAGCTGCACGTACACAAAGAGGAAAAGCAACGAGTAGGCGACGGTGTAGGCGATGGTCAGCCCCAACTTCACAAAGGGAGGGATGGCTGGAGAGAGGGTCGGGGCTGAAGGCTCGTTCCTCTGCAGATCCATTGCCCCACAAGCTGCCTGTCCTGCCCTGCCCTGCTGCCCTGCCCTGCCCTGCTGTCCTGCCCTGCCCTGCTGCCCTGCTGCCCTGCCCTGCTGCCCTGCCCTGCCCTGCTGTCCTGCCCTGCCCTGCCCCCCTGCCCTGCCCTGCCCCCCTGCCCTGCTGCCCTGCCCTGCCCTGCCCTGCTGCCCTGCCCTGCCCTGCTGTCCTGCCCTGCCCCCCTGCCCTGCCCCCTGCCCTGTCCTGCCCTGTCCTGTCCTGTCCTGCCCTGCCCCCTGCCCTGCCCTGCCCTGCTGTCCTGCCCTGCCCCCCTGCCCTGCCCTGCCCTCCTGCCCTGCCCTGCTGTCCTGCCCTGCCCTGCTGCCCTGCTGCCCTGCCGTGCTGTCCTGCTGCCCTGCCCTGCTCCCCTGCCCTGCTGTCCTGCTGCCCCTCTGCCCTGCCCTGCCCCCCTGCCCTGCCCTGCCCTGCCCTGTCCTGCCTGTGCTCAGTCAGGGCTGCTCACCCCATCCCTCTCCTCACCAGCTGGAGGAGAAGCCCAGACGAACAACAACTCTCTCAAACTTCCTCCTCTGGCAGCAGAGGGAGAGAGCCACATGATCAAAGCAACAAAAAAAAAACCACACAACATGATTCATTTCTGTGACGCTTTGTCAGCAGTTTAAGCAGGAAACTGAAACCTGCAGTTTCTGGACAGCCCCGAAAGCTTCCGATGGTATATGTGTGTGTGTGTGTGTGTGTGTTGGTGGTGGTGGTGATGGTGATGGTGGTGGTGCCCTCCCGGACCTCACTGGAAGGACACCTCACTGCACTGGTCATTGGTGCCCACCCTGAGCTGACACCTCAGCAGGTCAACGAGGGCCCCTCTCACGCATTTTTTCTCCCAGAGACTGCGCTGATCATCCTTTCCCTTTGCATTCTCGCCGCCCAGGAGACGGGGATCCCTCACAGCCTTCCAGCACTCAGCACAGCCAGCAATCAATCCACTCTGCACCCATGCAATACCAGTTTGTGCCCCTGGGGTGGGGGGGGGGAGTGTGCCCCTGCGGTGGGGGGAGAGTGTGCCTCTGGGGTGGGGGGGGGGGGGTGTGCCCCTGGCGTGGGGGGGGAGTGCCCCTGGGGTGAGGGAGAGTGTGCCCCTGGAGTGGGTGGCGGAGTGTGCCCCTGGAGTGGGTGGGAGTGAGGGGAGTGTGCCCCTGGGGTTGGGGGGGGAGTGTGCCCCTGGAGTGGGTGGGGGGAGGGGAGTGTGCCCCTGGGGTGGTGGGGAGTGTGCCCCTGGGTGGGTGGGGAGTGTGCCCCTGGGGTGGGTGGGGGAGTGTGCCCCTGGGGTGGGGGAGAGTGTGCCCCTGGGGTGGGGGAGAGTGTGCCCCTGGGGTGGGGAGAGTGTGCCCCTGGGGTGGGGGAGAGTGTGCCTGGGTGGGGGAGAGTGTGCCCTGGGGTGGGTGGGGGAGGGGAGTTTACCCCTGAAGTGGGTGGGAGGGAGGGGAGTGTGCCTCTGGAGTGGGTGGGGGAGGGGAGTGTGCCCCTGGAGTGGGTGGGAGGGAGGGGAGTGTGTCCCTGGAGTGGGTGAGGGAGGGGAGTGCGCCCCTGGAGTAGGTGGGGAGGGGAGTTTGCCCCTGAAGTGGGTGGGGAGGGGAGTGCGCCCTGGAGTAGGTGGGGGAGGGGAGTGTGCCCCTGGAGTGGGTGGGGGAGGGGAGTGTGTCCCTGGAGTGGGTGGGGGAGGGGAGTGCGCCCCTGGGGTAGGTGGGGGAGGGGAGTGTGCCCCTGAAGTGGGTGGGGGAGGGGAGTGCGCCCCTGGGGTAGGTGGGGGAGGGGAGTGTGCCACTAAAGTGGGTGGGGAGGGGAGTGTGCCCCTGGAGTGGGTGGGGGAGTGTGCCCCTGGAGTGGGCGGGGGAGTGCGCCCCTGGAGTGGGCGGGGGAGTGCGCCCCTGGAGTGGGCGGGGGAGTGCGCCCTGGGGTAGGTGGGGGTTGGGGGGGGGGAGTGTCCCTGGGGTGGGTGGGGGGGGGGGTTGAGTATGCCCCTGGGGTGGGTGGAGGGGGGAGGGGAGTGTTCCCCTGGGGTGGGTGGGGGCGGGAGGGGAGTGTGCCCCTGGGGTGGGTGGAGGTGGGAGGGGAGTGTGCCCCTAGGGTGGGTGCGGTGGGGGTATGGCCCTTGGGTTGCCTCTTTGCATCATTTGGAGCTTACAGATCACATGATATTCTCAAATCACTTCATGCTACTTGCACCACAGCCCTCAAATCACATCACAGCCAATAACAGCAAACCTGTGACATCCTTTAAAAAAGTAATAATCTTCAAAAGATTGAACGAACAAGAGACTAATATCTCAAAGTGCTTCACAGGACATACTGTAAAGTGGGTGACTGTGTTTTGTGGTTAAAACTTGTGCTTGTCTTTTTTTGGTCAGCTGGGTGTCGAAACATGTGGAAAGCCATCCCATCTACGCATGGAGTTCCAGAGACAGATTGTTGGAATGTAATGCGCACTCTCTCCCTGGAGGGTTGCATCCTGTTTACCTAATTCCGTAAAGTATTAGGTGCAGGTTGGCAGGAGCCAAAGCTTGGGGACCCCAGAGTGTGTGTTGGGATAACTGCTGGAGTCCAACCAACTAAAACCCCATAGCTTGCCAATGATAGCACTGTCTGGCAAACTTTCCTGCTGCTTGTCCAGCTAGGATCACCCTATCAGTTAGGACTTCGACAAAGCATTAACAGGAGCTGAATGGGAGGATTCCCTGCCCCCAGTGACTGGTCTGCCCTTCCAAGTCCTGCCAATGAGCCAGACTGGCTGTGCTGTCATCAGCAGTACCTTGGAAAATTGTGGACCCACGTGGCTCAGAAACTTGATCATTGAGACCACCACAGAGGGTTGACTGAACTCTGACATTCAGTTGCCAAATACGTCACCTTGGAGCCAGTTCAGTTCCATGGAGACCCTCCCCCCAAAGAAGGTTCTCTAGCATCTGAGCAAAGGGAAAATTAAAATACAAGAATGCCAAACAATGCTGACCCATTCCTCATTCAATAACTCTTCATCATAATAACTAGAAGATTATATTTAACCAAAAACGTTACCTCCTAATGAAGTGTCAGCTCTGCCAACTGTGAGAACATGTTACGTCTTTAATTTATGAAAGGAAATGGAGGTGCTTTGTGCTCCCGGATGTACTTTCAAGCACCCATTGTCTGCATTAGTTATGACCTTTATGGAGAGAAGAACAGTTTACGTAAGGAGTTCTGTGGAATTAAGAGTGCATTATGCCGTGGAATCATACTGGTTAATTCTTTCCTGTGCTGAGTCGATGGGAGGACCAATGCAATTTACAAAGGAACACTGTAAGAGTTAAAGATTCAGAACCTTTTCACTGGCAACGTATCAGATCCCTTTGGGTTGCTGGAGCATTTCCTTTTCCACCATGAATGAATAGGAGCTGGGCTTCACAGGACTGCACGCTTCCTTCCACTCCATACATAACTGTTAAAGTGTTAAGGTTTATCATCCAGTCAGTACACGCAGAGGTTCTGCTGCCCTGCAATGGTTCCAAGGAATGACATCATCAGATTTAGTGGAGTATAACATTTCCTGTTGCTGAGAGGATTGGTCTGACCCCCACCATCAAGATTCAGGAAATTCCCTTAAATAGCTCTTTGCAAATTTCTTCTTTACCATGTAACAAAGCAAGATTATTATACCCTCTCTTAGCAATTGGAAAGACGTATGTTTGTTTGCTGGTTGAGAGAGGTGTTGGGTTCTTTGAGTTAATAATCCTTGCACTTCGAATAGCTCCTTTCACTTTAGAAAGATGTTTCAAAGCGCTTCACAGGATTTATTGTAAAGTGAAGTAACTGTGTATTTTCTATGCGAAAATGGCAACCTTCCACAGTAGTTCTACCACTCTTGATAACTTAATAGAGAAAAGCCCTTTAACTTTGAATAGGTTTTCTGAGTTAGGAAAACATAACGTTAACTCTTAAGTGTTATAATTTTCACCCACAAAATATACAGTCAATTCACTTTACAGTATATTCTGTGAAGCGCTATATCAAATACAAGAATTATTATTATTATATGATATAAACAGCAGGCTTACTGAGTGGGGCATCATAACTGAGCCCATTCCCTGTTCTTGCCTCATGTCTGCAGTGATTGCTGGCTCGAATCAGAAGCAGAAACCTGTCTGATTTTCCGCTGAGTTGTTCAGAGATGCTACTGCTAATTGGAGCACCCCAAACAGATTCTGAGATTTGTTAGCCCAGCACATGGATTTAAATCTGCAATCTTCTGTTCTTTGTGACATGATAGCAAACATACACACACACTTTCCGGCAGGGGTCTCTGATCGTCAAAAAAATGGCTTGAATTCTAGCATTTAACCCCTGGGATCCCTAAAGTGTATATTTTAATCAAAATATTTAATTAATGATGTAACAAGCACTTAGCGCACTGCACAGAACTCAGAAAAGAGTAGGATAACTTTGGGACTTTAAACATTTTTAAAAAAAATTCCTCTTCATACAGTATTCTTCCCTCCCCTCTTCTCCTGTAAAAAAATCACTCAGTTTTCCTTGGATTTGCAGGTACCTTGGGCCATCGGTCATTCTTCGTGCTCTGACAATGAATGCTGACACACTATTCAATCACTGGTGCATCATCAATTGAACTGGATACTGGTACATGTCACACAGCACATAGAGTTTCTGCATAGCGATCAAATAACAGTAATCTTGGTTTATTTTCCTCGTCTTCAACTGAGAGCCAGCAAGACATATTGTAGCGCCTCAGCTGTTGTTCCATCAGAGATCAATTAACTCAGAATAGGATTCAAACCTTCGACTTTCTGGTCTATATATCTTAGTTCTCATTGGGTGCTCTGTCTCGATCTTATTCAATGTGGATCAAATGTACATTGCGAAGAGTTCTGTGGATAATCCACTCGTGCCAGTTACTGCAACAATCTACTTTAACCCCTATAAAATGTGGTATAAAATTAGTATCTGAGAAGTCTCGAAGATGTCTTGGGATAGGAACAGCTACTCCAATGAGGGAGAAAAAA